CATTTGTCGGGGCCTCGACATCGAAGGACTCGTTGAACGATTTACCGACGCAGCTCCCCGAAGATGGAACTTGTACTAAATATTTATTATAACATTAAATTCTTCATTTCATTCTTGGTTTTATTAAAAATACATTTGATTCATATATTGTATGGAAATCAATTATGTTCCGATCTACTAAAAAAGTGATTTATTAAAACCTCTATGTTTCTCTTAAAGTGCCTCCAAAACGCAGGAAATGCGGTTTTAGACACCCAAAATTCAAAATTTTCTCGGGGGGCATACCCCCGAACCCACCTAGAAGGCTCGTGCCTTCGGCACTCGGATTTGCCCCCCCAAAAATATATCCTGCCGGCACCACTGCCCTGACAAGGGAAAATGTTCTTTTTTGCCTTTCTCTATTGTTGCTTGTGACCTGTTTATCTGATAATGGGTGTTTATAACCAGGTGTCACGTTCACATATTATGATAGACTTGGCCTTAACCCAAGCAGAGCGCAAATGCGTAATAAAATCTTGTCATACATCGTCGTCATACATCCATACGTACATTTTCAAGATGCATGCACACACTTTATACAAATCGAACACACCACTCTTAAAGAAATTGCTTAAGTATATATTGCAAATTAATTAAGACATGCATCTCTCTGTTATATTGTATATGCTGTAGATATATTGAGAATTTGGAATGTCAAAACATCTTCCAAAAATTACAAGATGGTTCAGGGCAGCAGTAAGATGTCTGTCAATGACGTATTTCAGAAAATTTCAAAGATCTTTCAGGTGAACAAAAATATGATTATTTTAACCTACACATTCAAGCCTCCAAATTGCTCTGAGTCTATAGATGTGGAAATAAATCAGATGAAAAGCAGTAATCAGATGAAAGCAGTTTATATCATAATAATAATAAAAAATATTATAAAAATATTATAAAAAATATTATAAAAATAATATAAAAATATTTATCATGAAAAATAATCAGATGAAAGCAGTTTATATCATGCACTTGAAGTTCTCGATAATTATGGCAAATTAATGGTAGAGTTAAAAGTCCAAAATCACGCGGAATTTTCTTTAGCTGATGGAAAAAGAAAAATAAGAACTAAAGAAACAATATCGGAACTAATTAAGCGAGAAATGGGTTTGCACTCAGATGAGGGGCAACGGAAAAGGGGTTTCCTAGATGCAAAATGGACAACAAGATGCGACAAGCTAATGGTAGAAGATTCATGCCTTCTCCTTGAATTTGATAAATTGAAATCGGGTATCGGACTGGCCCTTGGAGATTTGCGCGAATATAGTTGTCCTCAGTGCAATGAACCAGCCAAGAGCATTGGTTCAACACATGAAAGATGAGCACGATGTCTTAGCAGCTGATATCATTTTACGCCTACGAGCTTGGGTGAGTAATAATTTTATCACGAATCAGCAAATGGAAGAAAAGGCCAAATTACCGTCCACCATTATTTCACCAGCTACAGTTTTATCAACTCCACGGGCCAGGAAAGCTGTCCTGGCCTGTGATATTCTTCAAGGGCATTTGCATGATTACATATGATGCTAGTACTAAAACCAAATTTCTATAGGTATTTGTACATATATATGCATACAGTATATGGATCAGAATATATGATATTTTGTATGTTGCATGTCTATTAAAAATTTAAGGGAGATTTGGAGCGTTTTTCATAAAAGCTATGCTTTGTAGACATTGGAAGTTGCTTTCAGAGTTTTTAAATCCGGCTCCACAAAAAAATAATGAATATTACAGAACAGAAGAGTGCAGAGCTTTAATTTTAGTCTTATTTTAAATATAAGAGCCTGCTGGCAGCATAAGTAGACTTAAAAAAACAGCAAAACCTCCTGAAACATCAAAACTTAATACATACTTTATTTTAAATCAAATAAAAGTCATGATGCTAAGTAATTGTAATGCTAAGTAATTGTATATCTTATTTGTGTGTTCGAATTCTGATCCATTATACTGTGAAGCATGTGCAGAGTGTATAGTAACCAAATATTGCACATTTTGGGATGCTCGTTAATTAAATTAGATTCAGGTTCAATTTTATGTAAGCCCGAACAATGGACACTTTTTATTACTCAACAAGTAAAATTATTTTGAACAATGAATGGAAAGTCATGGATAGGGTACAAGTTTGGATGGGTAGAAATTTGGATTGTACTCGCAAACTACTTGAGCTTACAATAAAATCTCCTAGAATGTGTGAAAATTCTGTTTAGCCAGAATTTCAAAATTGTGTTCTTTTCTTATACACCCTGTTAAGCATGTACCTACATTTATATTAGTATAGATGAACAATTATGAGAACCGTTTCAACTGCATAACTGCTGTACGCTGAGACATTTCTTCAGATCTCATATCTTACCATGTAAATGCCCTTGAAAATGTAAACCCAGGATTGGGAACTGGGAACACTGGCCAACTCTTTTCAGGTACTGTGAAAGTCTGTTCAATGTCACTACAAGAAAAGGATACAGATTTTACTTGGGTGGTAAGCAGTTTGGACTGCAAAGCAAAAGAAATGCAATAGCAGAGTCAAAATCATACTGCAACCCTGGTCCTTCAGTTTCCACGTTAGACTCGAAAAAGATAACACCTCAGTACAATTCTGGTCCACACCTACATAATTTGATGTTGCTTTTACATTTGTTGAATTTGTTAGATGGTGTCCCGTGTTTCAATGCACCTGGAGTTAAAAAATTTCTAACCATTGTTCACTATGATGGAATGCCAATAAACATTGCAACATTTCCAAGATATGAAAATGGAGAAATTTTTTTGGCCTGGAAAAGATGAAGGAACTGTACCAAAACAGTAGCACAGCTGTCCACAACTATATAACTGAGAACTGTACTTGGATGAGTGAAGTAAACGAATTTGACATGTGCGATGCTTCTGGAAGAGTTCATGTTAATATTTACACAAGTTTTAGTTCCTCTGTGGGAGATTCTTAAAGTGTTAGAGATGAACTCAAAGAAACTCTTTCTTGTGTGAATGCTTGTACAAATGCATCCTAAAGAGGGAAGCTAAAAACTGTTCCTACTTGTCAACCAAGGAACCTTGCACTCAGTGCACGAACACAGATGCAGTCCAATGTGTCAGTGCAATGTGTATTCATGTTTCCTCGGATCAAGCCCCTTCACAACGACATGCTCACTCGGAACTGAACAAAGAAGGAACAACAGATTTTGGTGACGCAGGTTATAGGTTTTATGGCATTGGACTTCTTCACTTTTGTGAGAACTGTATCTCTTCTCTCCATCACTACAGACTAACCGATATGTCTGAAACATTCTATGTGGGACTATTATCTGCAATTTGGGCATCAAATACGAGCGAGGAAAAGAAAATAAAAGAAGTAAGCCCTGCAGCTGTCTTTTCTGTCCGAGATGCACACAGCAATGAAATTTGCTACCAAACAGTTTCGATGCCACTACAAAACATTGTAAAAGGAACGCATGATGTTGTTGCAACACTGATTCCTGAGCAATACAAACCAAGCAGTAGTGAAGCCAAGACACATAGTATCCTTGGCAGGCCACTGTATATTACTTGCAATGCAAATGGTGATTTTCTATGGACAGGTAAGTAATTTAATTATTTCGATTTCCAATGAACATTCGAACTGTACAGTATGGTATCAGTGTACCATGCAGCACGTTATTCGTACTTTTTAATGTTGGTGTACCACTAAATTTATAGCGTTATTGTCAATCAGCATCATAGTTAATAGACAAATAAGGTTTAGAAACTGATATGATATATTGAACTTAAATGTAATCAATTGAGTTTTCTAACCTTGTCTATTTATTACTTATATGGCAGTTTACGATTACCCTGGTAAAATTTACTGTATACAGTAAAGTGCAACAAAGCCTGATTTTTTTCACTTCTTGCTTTATGATGTTAGAGTCATTTTCATATATGCAAGAATAGATAAATTGATTGGGTAAAACATTGCACAATGGTATAACGATCATCTCGTATCTCGTATAATCATTATGGCACATTTGCATGGTTTTCAGGGGTGGAAAAAGTATTTTTTTGAGTTGAGAGTTTTGCAGAAAATTTTCCAGAAATTATTTTTCACCCTGCTCGGTTTCCTTTGTTCTTGTCGGGGAATATATTCAATATTCCACTCTAATCAATTTCCATTTAATAATCCCCTCTAATATTCACCTGCAATTAATAATCCCCTCTAATATTCACCTGCAATGTCTTAGCAGCACAAAAAAATGAGAAAAAAACAACATAACGAAGGCAATATGACATTAAGAATTATTTCTATTCTTACTCATTAATGCGACCTCGCAGTGTGAAAAATAAGTACGTTATTTTGAGGCACCTCAGGGATATGTGTTTATTCACCTCGGCACTTTGCGCCTCGGTGAATAAATCACATATCCCCTCGTTGCCTCAAAATAACCTATACATATTTCAACATTTTGAGATAACTCTGTTTACTCAACTTACAAGTTACAACTTATTCTACTTTATTTACACTGTACATGCTAACATCAGCAGCTTTTAAATATTTGACAGAAATGAATTCTTTTACCCACCCTGCCATCACAATGACTGGTAAAATGGTAAATATATGCTCTGCAAAGTCTCCAATAAAATGCACATTAAATAGTAAACAAATAAAAGTGATGGAATAAATAAGATGATAGGACACTTAGTTAAGCGTTAGATCCTTACTATGTTTGTGATGTTATTCTGAGTGTGTATCCACACCGGGCAAGCTTGAAAAATATGCCTGGCCACGGTGGGAATCAAACCTACGACCTTTGGAATACTAGCCCAATGCTCTGGCAGCTGAGCTACGCGGTAAGGTCGGTTCGAGTATGTGATATTTCAGAACTGAGTTTAGTTCCTTCGACATGAATGTAATCTAAAAATCATGATTTTTTGCGTTGGTGTTGTGTACTCAGGTGAATACGATGTTTGTGATGTTACTCTGAGTGTGTATCCACACCGGGCAAGCTTGAAAAATATGCCTGGCCATGGTGGGAATCGAACCTATATGACCTTTGGAATACTAGATTACATTGATGTCAAAGGAACTAAACTCAGTTCCAAAATATCACATACTCAAACCGACCTGACCACATAGCTCAGTTGGCAGAACATTGGGTTAGTATTCCAAATGTTATAGGTTCGATTCCCATCGTGGCCAGACATATTTTTCAAGTTTGCCTGGTGTGGATAGACACTCAGAGTAACATCACAAACATGATATTCACCTTAGTACATAACACCAACACAGAAAAAATCAAGATCCTTCATAACTCATTCGTCATAACTCATAACTGTGGTATATATCAGACAACTATTGTGATGTACAAGCGTATGAAAACCAGCTTAAAGCCCATTATTACTGAAGTACAAATAATACAATAATTATGCATTTGTTTTGTTATTTTTGTAATTGTAACATTACAAATATTACAGAAAATTTCTAGCCTTCGACCCAGGTTCCCAGAAAGAAAAAAAATTTTTCCACCCCTGATGGTTTATTGGTTTTATACACGGTGTGCCTCTAAACTGTACAGTACTACGTTCAGTAAGTTACAAAATGTACACTTACAGTAGTTAGACTCCTGTCTTGTTTACTAAAGCTTGTTATTTATATTTTTACTAGATGGTTTCTTCGAATGTGTGGGTATGGGAAATAGACACATTCCAACAAAATGTTCTGTTATTGGGAAATTTGATTGTCCAGGTAGATACTTGTCATTGACATTGTTTTTATACAAACATAATTGTCCAAGACAGCTCGTTCCCTTTTAGGTGATTTGGCTCAGTCAATGACACACAGCCTCAGTATAAATGTGTCAAATCTATGAATCTGTCATTTGACAATTTATGTCCATTGTCGTGCAAGTGCAAAGTGTTGGACAATGTTAATGCGATTAATGTACAATGTATTAAATCTGCATGTTCTATTACACCTGGCCTCTAATTACATGCCCTTTCTTGCAGGTCCTGCTCATGATAATCCGATTATATCTTCAAAAGCATCATTCAGATACCCTGCTGGCACTGATGTTCTCAAAGATGAACCTGGTAAAAACGAAATGTTTTAATGTTTTAATGTTTTAATGTTTACAAAAAATGTACAAAAAAGATCATATGTTGCATTACCTGCAAGTAGCCAAGCTAGTCGTGGCAGGCAATGAATTTAAATGTAGGTAGTTTAAGTAAGTTTAGAAAAATATTTTTACAAATAAGTGAAGGAAAGTATATAAAGTTAATTGATTATGAAAAATATTGTAATTTTAAATACAGTATTACAGATCTAGCATTACAGAGAAAAGGCAAGCAGCTGAAACATCCTTATCTAGTATTCTATCTCAAAAGATTTAGGGTAATTTAAACCATCATAGTTACAATTGGCAATCTTGCTATTATCATGGGCACATCAACATAGTGATTCTCAGTTGTAAGAATTGTAAAGAGGGCCTGGTATATTTTTACTTTTTGAGCGAAGGCCCTGGTCAATACTATTCCAAATTTCCGCACCAAGTCGAGAAAACGAACATTTCTGAAGCTCTAGGCGAGAATATTTTATATAAAAATTATCTTTCTTCGCCGCTCTTGTATTATAATTATGAACCTCAGATGTTTTTTTGAAAAGTTCTTGTAGAGTTGTTGGCGTATCTCCAGTTGATATATCGTATAACATGTTGGCAGATTCTTTGATATACATCATATTAATAGGAAGAGAATTTGAAGAAACAAACAAGGGAATTGCATGATTATCAAATTATTTAAAATACATCAGACGTAAAACGCGTTTTTGTAATATAAGAAGTTTCTTAATGTGAAACTTGGCAGCATTTCCCCATGCAGACAGTCCATATGAAAGGTAAGGTAAAATTAAGGACTTATATATATCTAGTACAGTATGATTTGGAATAAAATATCGCAATTTTGAGATAATCCCAACATTTTTACTAATCTTTAATGCAATATAGTCAATGTGATGCTTCCAACTTAAGTGGCAATCAATAATGATACCAAGATACTTAATATATTCTTTGCATTCGAGTGGTGTGTATTTCTTAGAATTATTATCATACATGCTAATTACTGGATGATAATTTACTGATTTCTGGTGTGGGCGAAAAATAACAAAATTTGACTTTTTTATATTAAGCGTCAGTTTGTTGGCATTAAGCCATTTGCAAACATTATTCAATTCAGAATTTACAACAGATTCAAGTGTTTTCAAGTTTTTATTAGCATATAATAGGTTGGTATCATCCGCAAAAAGAAAAAAATTAAAAACGTTTGATGACTCCGAAATATCGTTTATGTATATTAAAAAAAGTAGAGGCCCAAGGACTGATCCTTGAGGTACTCCACACAAAGTGGTTTCTCTATCAGATACACAGTTTCTAATCACAGTTGTTTGAGAGCGGTTTTTTAAGTAGGAAGAGAACCAGTCATTTACCACTCCCCTAATACCGTAATGATTTAATTTACCCAACAGTATATCGTGGTCTACCGTATCAAAGGCTTTCTTCAAGTCTATAAATATACCGCAGGAATAAAGTTTATTATCCATGTTAGTTTGGATTTTGTTAACAATGTCGAGAATGGCATGTTGTGTAGAATGTTGTTGACGGAAACCATATTGTGAGGGACACAAGATATTTTTCATATTTAGGTATTTGTCTAAACGTTTATACATGATTTTTTCAAAAATTTTATTAAATACCGATAAAAGGGATATGGGTCGGTAATTATTCGGTTCAGTTTCATCCTCCGCTTTGTAAATTGGAATTATTTTTGCAATTTTGAGTTTATTAGGATAAATTCCAGTTTCAATCGACCGATTAAAAATATCTGCCAAAGGTTTGCTCAGAATGTGTTTTGCACATTTAATAATCCTCGAAGGGCATGAGTATAAACCCTCAGCTTTTTTGGTTGGTAGTGTGATAATTTCAAGTTCAATATCTCTTTCAGTTATCGGAATGAAAACAAATTAATCTAGTTGAGATGTGTAGTTAAGGCTATTTGTATGTTGAAGGTAATCAGAATAATGTTTTTCAGAATGAGGCATTTTAGCAGCTAATCTTTGTCCACATGTAGCAAAATGTTTATTCAAGATGTTGGATATATTTTTAGGATCAAATGTTAATCGAGAAGTAGTATCCTGTTGCATGGCACCAATATTATTTTTATTATTACGGCTACGTCCTAAAATTTCCCTTATTCCTTCCCATTTCTTACTCATATTTGTGTGATTCAAGTTGAAATATTTTTCATAGTACAATTTTTTGCTGGCTCGGAGTAAAGTAACAATATAGTTTCTATATATTTTATACTGAGTTACATTATTTGTGTGTGAAATAACTTATTTTTAACTTTAATAGATGCCCTTATTCCTCTAGTTACCCATGGCTTGGATAATTGTTTTGCTTTACGCCTAGAAATGGTCTTGATAGGAGCATGTTTATTTATTAGTTTATTTACTTTATTAAAAAAAGTCGAAAATAACTTGTTAGGATTATTCTCTGGTTCCATTACGACAGAATCCCAATTTATCTCTGAAAGTTCTTGGTTAATAAAGTATCGGAGAATGATGAATAGTCACGATATTTACGTTTTTGGATGTTTTGTCTGACGGTAATGGAATCTAGGATACAAAATTGTGAAAAATGATCGCTTACATCAGATATTATGTTCCCACTAACTAACACATTGGAAGGGTTATTAATAAATATGTTGTCAATTAATGTGGCTGATTCCCCATGGACGGGCGAGGGTTTATCGATGCTAGGGATCATTGAACAGCTTTGTAAATATAATAAAAAATTATGTTGAAATCACCCATGATAAACACATATTTGCCTGTTGATGTGTATTGCTCTAGTTTTTGTTCAAAATACGCTTGGAATGTCTCAGGTGAATTGTGTTGTCTGTATACGACACAGCATATAATATTTTTCTTGCTAGGAATGATAATTTCAATCCAAAGCGCTCGATAAGCTGTATTAGCAGATTTTTCAATAAAAGTATAACTAAATTCATTATTAATATACATTCCAACCCCTCCAGCAGCTAAAGGGGTTGGAACAAATTCAAATGAGTAGTCAGGGATGCTGTAATTAAAACCGTCTAAGTTGGTATCTTTAATGCGTGTCTCTGTGATGCCAATAACACTAAAAGGAAATTTCAATTCGTCTAATATTTGAACTTGTAAATGTTCTAAGTTCTTTCTTAAACTACTTACATTATTATGAAATAAGGAGAAATGATTATTTGATAAACGATGATTACCCTTTTTGATTTTAGTAAAATTCTCAGGAGAATAGTATTTGCAATGAATATGGTGGTTCATCACATTTTGATCGGGGTTAATATTAGAATTTGATCGTATATTTAGATTAAATACGTCAAGATCATAAATACTTGTAAGCTTATTTAATTGTCTTTCAGTTGAAGGTCTGCTAGTCAGAAAGAAATCATTATATATACCGTAGAAAGGTAGTTCACGAAAATTTGACTTATGTACATTAACTTCGTGTTTACTCGTCATCAATTAAACAAACATATGATATAGTCAATGAAAACGTCTGATACTTAGCTTTAATCATTCAGCATTGAGTCGTTGCCAGTTGATTCCTGTTGTATTAAGTTGGTAAGATCTTGTAGTGATTTCATTTTGGTAATTCGTGAATTTTCAGCTTTTCGTAAGCAAATAGAACTGTTTTTGACCCAACAGAACTTGTATCCCATCTTTTGATATTTTTTAGCTTCGTAAAGAAGTGATTGAAGGCGGGGCGTTAGATGGTCATATATATTCACTCGAAAGTCAGGATTGCTGATCGTTCCGATATCAAGCTGTTCGGATGTTACACTAGACGATTCTTTACGAGCAGCCATGACTTTTCTTTTTGCAAGTCGTCGAACAAACTTGCATATTATTGCATCGGGATACTGTGAGACCCTGCGATGAGGAACGCGGTGTGCAATGTCTATGTCTTGAAGAGAGACATCTTCCACGCCCATAGCTGAAAATAGCTTAACACAAAGTTTAGCTGTAGCTTCTGCCGATTCCCTTTCACTGATTTGAGGTACATTAGTTATTTTTATATTATACTGGTAGCTGTATTCTTCGCTCGCTTCAATTGCTTCGGCGATTTCATCACACCTTCTGCTGACCTTATCTAGATTTTTGTCGATGCGATTAAGGTCTTGGCTGGCTTGTTTGCGAAAAGCATGTAGATCGTCGTACTGTTTACTCAAAAATTCTATAGCTTTAGCTTGTTCTTCGCCTTCGAAGTGATTTGGATTGGCGTTATCTTGTGTCTTTTCAATGGCCGTCTTTGCAATACTCATTTGTGTGTTTAAATCTTGACTGACTTTATTTAATTGACTCTTTAAGTCTTGAATCTCAGATCGTAGCAATTGGTTTTCATTCTTAAGTGCTTTTGTTGCCATAACTTAATTCATAAAAATATTTTTCAAAGTTTTATGGCGGAGCTTCAAAGTCATTGACCGTTCAGCTCGAACGGTGCTTCACGATTTTTTGCCGTTCATGTATAGTTCTTTCGAGCTGTGGAAAGCTTGTTTTACTATAGACGAATCTGGTTGCTGGCATATAGATTTAATATAGTTTAGTATCCTTTTGAACATCGGAAACAACAAAGGGAATCTACCTAATTCTGCTCTACTTGCAAAATGACTGGCTTTTCTGTTTACGCCTAGATAGAGTTTGCAGTACTTCAGGTGGGTTTTTTCTGTAGACGAAAAAATAATATCACAAAATCTCCTAAACGACTCTCCAAAATGACCAATTCAAAGGGTCTAAGTTTCAAGATCTCGGAGTCTCGGACCCCTGGGCACCATAGAGCCATCAACTTCTTTCAAAAAGCCTCCTACTTCAAATTCTATTGTACATTAAAAATGTGTATCAGTGAGGAGGCTCAATCAGCATCAAGGGAACAAACAATACATTCATTCCATATGTTGTTTTGTCGAAGATGTTTCAAATATGATTGTGTTCTTCATGCATGGAAACCACTACCAACGCAAGTGAGACGAAAGGTAATTGTACTCTTCGGTAGGTTTGTAT